GGAACCGTGCCGCCTAAAGCTTTCAGCCCTTATACCGTTGCCCACTGAGATGAAATCCGTGGGTGTTACGGTAGCTGTGGGTGTACGTCACATTCATCATAACAGGGGCGATGGTAGGAGTTTTTGCCCATGCGCTGCATGTCGAGCAAAAACGGGTGGCTTGTCAGGGGCTAGTTAGACAGCAACACTTTCAAAATCGCTGGCTTCAACAGCATGTGATGACTGTATTCCATGGTGCTGGCATGACACGATGGATGCTGTACGATCGCATGTTTTTGCCGCCGATGAAATAAAACGTTCCTGCTTGATGCACCGTACTGATCAGCAGGCAAAGCTAGGCCATGCTTAAAGATACGCTCTTAATACCAATTTCGACTCACTAAGGAGCATGCAGGACAAGGAGTAGCACAGGAGCCATGTGCCCTCCTTTACTGAGCACACACACGATCAGTGGGGCCAAGTCCATTTGCTGGTACAAACACTGTGCTGAAAAACTCGAGATATCCTCGACTTCTGCTGTATCCGCCCCTGCCGGTTCTCATCGTGTCACATATCTGAACAGCAATCGCGCCATGCAGTGGTTGAATCCGCGCCTCCACGTGTCTTGCCTCTCCGCGGGCACGACAGCGGGGGTGCGTCACAGCACGCGGCACTCGCAGAGCGTAACCTGTCAATTGCCTCGCCAAATTGCAATCACCGCTCTTCCGGCCTCATTCCGCCTCGGCTCACAACTTCCCTCATCAAGCCAACGTGTCTCTAGACGTGCGTTCAAACCAACACGCATGCCTGGATTTGATACAAGACATTCTTTATTATTCCATCCGGTGCAATTATTTCTGACGGCTCGGGGGACGCGTGGTGGCGGCGCCCTGCCGCCGCAGCTGTCCCACATCGGTAACTGAGCGGCCGTTCAGCCGGCGCGCCGGCCGTTCGGCGGGCCGGGAGGCGAGTGCTGCGGCCCAGATCGGCGCTCCGCCCCGGCACGTGCGCTCCAGATGCGGCCGGCGCCGGTCTGAGTGAAGCGGTGCCAGCCGGCCGGCGGCCGGCGACGGCCCGCAAATAGCCGTCGTGTCCCGGCGGGCGGGACGCGCTCGCAGGTGAGCGGCGCGCGCTGAGCGCCGCCCCTTGAGCCGGTGCGCTCGAGCGCCCGCCCAGATCAGAGGCGCCGCCACCTTGGCCGTGCTTCAGCGCTGTCTCGTGCGCCGGCCGGCCACCGGCGCCGGCGGCCGTGTTCTGCGCGCGGCGCCACGTGCCAAACCGGTGATGGGTAGAGCCTTGACATGGTCGGCCTGGAATCCGGGAACCAGGCCTGTCACTGTAGTTTGCGACGCGTGCTCTCGAAGTGATTCAGAGGTCACTGCAGTTGTTCATCGCTATAGACACTATTCGGCCGCATTGGATGATTTGGAGGTACAGAAAAACCAATTTCATTATCTGCGTACAATTTTATTTGAACATGATTACACTAATCCTGAGAAGTCATACTGCATGGATGGGTTGAAGATTGAATACAATACAATGCAAGACAATACACAACGAAATTGGACATCTTTAGGCCCTCAGACGACTAAGAACAGCTACAAGTGAAGAGCCCGCGACCAGACAGAGTTAATTCTTGGCTGTTTGAGAGGGTAGAGATAGAGAATATTTTGAGGCTCATTACGCCATCCAGAGGTGCTACGCTGACCCCAGGGCCCTGCATCTCCACTTGCCGGGTCAATTCGATAGCTAAGGAGCGTTCCACGTCGCTCTTGATCTCTTTGCACTTTCTAGGAGGTCATATGCTGCTGTTAGGGCCCTATATGCGACCATACCTAGTCACTACTGATCGATCAGTGGCCCTCCAGGGGTTTTTCCCGTTCGCCCGAAGGGCTTTATACGCTTTTTACGCTTTTACCGGAGCCCCACATACTGGGGTGCACTTAGTTGCTCAAGGGTCTTTTGATATTAGTACTGACTTCTTTTTTCTTGCTTAGGGAGCCTTGTGCTGTTGCTAGAGCCTATACAAGGCATCGAGGTACCCGGTGCTCAGGGGCTCCCACATTGGTCTAGAGCTTATTTGTTTTTATTTCGTTCTTGGAGGACCCTTAACTCCTAGCGTGGTCCGTTCTGTTAACTCCTAGCTGGACTTAGACTACTTAACGCCTAGCTGCCCGGGTACTCTGGATCGCACTGCCGCATTTATTTGCGCTCACTGGCCCCGTGTAATTTCCCTTTGCTCAAAGTGCCCTGCGCTCTGGCCGGGACCCTATATATCCGTCTGCCGAGGGAAGCTGCCGCTCTTCCCATGATCGCCCAGGCTTTGTCCCTGTTGGCCTTGGTGCCTTAGCCTTAGAGTAGCAGTTGGACATGCGCCGATGAATTTTTACGCACAATTGTCGAACGTAATTTTGTGTGTCGCTGGCGCTGTACGCGCCGTTTACGTTGGTTTGTATTTGAGGCATCTATTATGCTCGCGCATCAAGTCCTGAAAGCATTTTAATGCTAGGATATTTTGCATTCTTTCGTAACAAACAAAGAAAAAACTTTGCATTAGGCATTTCAAAACCAATAATTTGTACGCCATGAGCACCGGAAATACAAATAAATGGCATCCAACGAGAGCTGACATGACCCTGACCCGACACAGCCTTCGTCATACACGACTTTGACCCTGACCTTTATTGACGTCATGACATGATCGTGAAATACACAAGCACGCACGATCTCTCGTTAGTCACTGGCTCCAAAATCATATAACTGTCATTACGGGTGCAACAGTCCCCTAAATTCAAATCCATCCACATGTCCCATTTCTCGCTTTATCCAGCATTATTTCGACGCCTCGCTTGTTGGGGGCAGGCTGCATGCCCAGCTACCAGTGGACCGAAGTGCTCCCTGGTGGTGAACTCCGTCCAACCGCCGAGTATACGCCTCACAGTGGGGTCCTCGTGCGGGCATCGGTGGGTGCGTCCCCAGGGTAATGTGGTGTCGCCCCAGCGTTATCCACTCCTCTTCATCTCATAGCCCTGGAATGATCGTCGCTGGCCGAAAGGGCTCTGACGCAAAGAACCAAATAACCAACCCTAAATTCGTTTCACTATTTTGATGATCGTTGCGTGTTCTGCGTGAGCCATAAGAAGCTCACCGACGTGTCCAATAGCCACTCACTGACTCACCTGTGCAATTGGCCAAGGCTGCCCGTTGCTGCATTTCCTTTTTGTCGTTTCAATGATTAGATCCTGTGATACAAGCAGCCTACTTTTAACATTATGAGTGATCATGAGTAACAAAATGCTGAGACAATGGCACGTTAAGTCCCTTTAAGCATAGCCCATCTAATATGTGGTACTCCCATCTAGCATGCCATTTTGGAACCTCACGCTAAGCAGAGCTTGTTGAGTGGGCCTCGACTTAAACATCTGATAGTGGAATTTGGTGTCAACGGCCACCTGTTGACGCCAAAGTTTAACGTGTTGCAATGTCTGGCACTTCCGTCTTGTCCTCTGATGCCTCCTGACCTTTGGCGAGACTGCTGTTACCGGCTGCGGGCCACCGGCCAATCAGGAGTAAACAGCGAGTGACTAAGGTGACTGAAATCCGCGTCCCGCCATTGGTGCGTGGATTAAGAGGCGGGCGATGCGACCTACTGAGCTAGCGACACGGACAAATATCAGAAAACGTCGCCAAACGTTTCACTCAGATCGTATATGCTTACAAGTCACAGAAAAGTAAATGCCGTGTCATGCCGTCCCACCGCCCCATGGAATAAAGTAGAAGATCCTTTTGAGCACAACCCATCGGCGCGGAAGTATATTGGGGTTTGGGGAGCCCCAAGTTTCGAGAAACAGCCTGACCCATATAAGCTCATCGGATTTCGGTCACCATGTTTTGGGAAGTCGCGATGGCTGGTCAGTTTTCAAGCCTCGGTTCGATTTTTGATAATGATCAAAAGCGCAAAACCTTGTCGGGCATCACGCACTGCGCCCCTAGCTAAAATATCGGAGACCTGCCCCACCCCAGATCCGCATCATTGGACAGCCTGCGCAATAAGCAGGTCATTTATATTATTATTATCATCGGAAATCTTTTAGAAATATATTCTATTAGAAATCCCAGATCCGATCTTGTCCGGGCCGGCACAAGAAAAATCTTATCAAGCATCTTTGTCAGCAATCCACTGTGTTCTAGCTCGTTAAAAACAAGATGAAAGCACTTGTGATGTTTTAAAAATCCGTTCGTCATATAATTGAATATACGTCATACTTGTTGCAACTATTGTTTTGCTCAGTATTTTAAGCATTTGACTGATGTACTAACTTGATATTACTTTCAGTACATGACTGTCGAATTGACATGAGGCGCCGGTTCCAATCCTTTCGGGATCGCCAGTTTTTAATCTAACCTGGATACAATACGCGCTTTTTGGCACTCTCCCAATACGGCCAAGTCCAATCCGTGAAATAATCACAAATGCATCTGCATACATTGGGGATGAGCCAGACCGCTCTTACTGTCCGCAGCTGGCCGAACCACGCCGTTCAGCCGGAGGCGCCGGACGCGGCTGGGTGGCCTGGCGTGGTGCGTTCTGGGCGCCATCGCGCAGCGTTTGCGAGTTTATTTCGGGCCTCATTATTCATCGTAATCACCCGCGCCTCTCCCATCTGTGACACGTGTTTGACGTGCGACATGCGAACCCGACACGCGTTGTCGCCCAATGCCATGCTGCATCAGCACCGCCGCGATGTCTGGCGACATGCGAGCGCGGCGATACGCCTCGAATCCGCGCTTTTCAGTGCCCCGGTTGAAGAGGAAGTGGGGACGATGGGGTCGTACCGTGGACCACCCACGCTTCGCGGAGGTCCCGAACGCGCACACGAGACGAGTGCGAACTGATTTCCCCTCTTGCCGGCGTGGCGGGTCGGCGCGAGGTTATTTATACCCGGCGCCGGAGGCGGCGCCCGAAAGGATCGGCCGTCTGTTTATACAGGAGAGGGCGGCGGACGCTCGCAGACGGCGGCCACCGACCGGCGAGCGCCGCAGTGCAGGGTCGCGACCCCAGCGCGTGCCGAGAGCGCACCGGCGGCGACACCTCTGACCCGGCGGCTGCGGTCAGCCGCGGCGGCGCTCTCTGAAGCGCGCGGAAAAACATGGCGTCGTCGCAAGTGTTCGTGTTGGCGGCGGTGCTGGTGATGACTGGGGACGTGCTGGCCATTCCCAAAGATGACTTCCTTCCGTTTGGTACCGACTATGGTGACCAAGCGCTGCCGAACATGGACGAAGTCTCCAGCCCGGAAATCAAGCTCTCGACGCCTCTTCTGTACTACAATCAACAATATCAAGGAGTCTACGTGAGTAAAGTGACAAAATGAGCCACTTGTGTATTGGCAACCCAACTGGTACTACATCAGTAAAGCGACAAAGCGGTAGTCAGCGTTTTCAGAATGGTATACGAATATACATGCATCAAGTACCAAAATGCTAGACTTCCTGGGTTTTATTGCAGCAAACTTTGGCACGCGTCGTTTTAAGATTTTATGGCAGTATGGCAGTGACTAGTTACAGTGAAGACGTAATCTCATTAAAATCAGCATTCAGGACTGGGGCTGAAGCATAATTCATCAACGTGCAGGTGCTCTGCTTTGTCTACAAAGAGACGCGTTTAATATGCCTCATTTACGCAGGAAACAAATAACGGTTTTGTATCGACAAAAAAATGACCGCGTCGCCAGGGTATGCATGGCGTGACACCATGAACTAGTTACGTAATCATGGGTCGTTTTGCTCTCAAAATTTCCGTTTTTGTGATTGAGTTTAGAATACAGGAACCATCACCAGTGTATTGCAACTACATTTTGTACATCTTAAATATCTGTATAATACAACAAGACCAGCTTTAACATAGCGTCCCATCTGGTGAACTAGCGACGGCCGGGCGGGCTCACGGGAGCCCCCTCTCTCATTGGAAAAAGTTTCTTTTCGTATGCAGTTAAAATTCGAAGGCGAACCACTAACCGTATAAGCAATGGAGGAATACCGCAAAATTCCCCGCACCTGTTGTCACGGTATGAATATAATCAAGTCTCTTTGCTTGAAAAGTAGCCTCCGCACTTTTTAGATAATCAAACCCTTGCATCGGCCAAAGACACACTGAATATGCCCATACAGACCCCTGTAATCGTCAAATGTCGTCTTTTGTGCCGTATCTAAAAGAGCTGGCAGTTTTTTCCAGAAATATGATGGCTACAGCTAAAAGCTTGATATGTTTGGACTCGATCTATAAAGCGGAAGTAGTCCCACGAAATCTGTGTCCGTAATTTTTCAGTGAAGCAAAGTTGTGCGCAGCTTTTCCATTTCACTATTAATTTGTCTGGTTTTAATTTTGCACAGCTGTTTATTTTGTTTCTAAATTGGCACTGCCATCCCTGTAAGGCAAGAATAAGCACTTTTTCGGTTCGCTGTCCAGCCTCAGCTATGTTCCAAATATGAGGAAAGCAAAGGAAATGAATTATAATTTAAAAGCTTTATATCAGCGCGAAGAAATAGCTAGATTTGGCGTCCATACCGACTGTGTTCAGTGCAAAGCAAAGAAGATGACAAAAACTTGGTGAGCAGTTAAGCATTTTTTTTTTCTCTCAGGCACTATTTGGAGGGCTTCATTTCAAAATTATTGCCTGTTTTGTACCGTTGACGCTGCATCACAAAACCTGAGTTTACGCCTGTTGATTGTCTTACCTCAGTGTGTAGGATATCGGAAACGATAGAAATGCCACAAAATACTGAATATGCCATTGTTTTTACGACTTCAATGTATTTTATTCAACTTCCGCAATGAGCACCAAAAACACACGCGGTGAAAAATCTTAAAGAGGCATCAATATTCCTACAGCTATCGCCTCGTCCGAAAAATGTCACTCCTTTTATATAAATTTTCTATCCAACATTAAAGCTATATGCAAACGCATTTCAAGAAAAACCAAGAGCGCCATTTTCTTCTCAGCCAGAAAGTTCCACCCTGCCGCGTTGATGCACCGGTCGCTCCGCATCATAACAATACTGCTCAGCACCGTGACGCAGGTCAACGCTGCTTTTTTACCAACTGCTGACTAAAATGGTGAAACAGCCCCTCGGTGTTCACGAAGAGTCCCCCATGTGCAAGCATATTATGTACATGCGCAGTGCAAAATCCCTGTGGAGACGGACGTCCAAAAAGTTATCCCACCATGCGTCGCACAAGCTGTCAAACACAAATGGATGAAAAGAACAATCACTACACATTTTTTGATAGCCCTTGTCACCTGTATGAATTTGCATTTGATGCAGTTATCCATCTCACCGTCGATGTGACATAATGGGTTCAATTACTTGCCCAGAAACATAACAGTTATTGTCAAGCACGGCATCTGGTTGGGACCAATTCACTGGCATTTCCGCGAGCTCTTACTGGTCTTAGTTTGTAAACAGCAGAAAGGGAGGGGAGGGAGGAGAGTGGTCACATCAACTCTTCTATCAATCGCGTTATGAAAAAGGCTCAATCAGGGCGAGGTTCATAGCATTTTATTTAAATGCACCAGGGAAACCATTGTTTTCAAGTGATCAAAAACATACAAACTACGCAAGCTTCCTCTTTATGCAATCATGCTTAACCTGATTTTCTTTATGGCGTTCACACAAAAACATATGATGTCTTTGTTTTTCAATTCAATTGGTGGGTGGCAAGGCTAGTAAAATCGACAATAGAAAGTAGCCATAAGATGTAGCACCTGTTTCAAGGGTTGTCATGATAGAACTTCACAACGCTATGTGTCGGAGTTTAAAAAAAAGCAATTAATATGAAACTCCCTCAAGATTTCATAAGAGGTTTGTTGCTTACTCGTCTCCGCGTCGGTATCTTAAATACGGAAATAGACAGCGTTTATCGTAAGCATTGCAAATGTCAGGTCCGCGTCATTATTGAGCTTGAGAAAGAACGCTCTCAATCTGGTGTGCATCTCCATTTTAGACGATTTGGTCCTCTTTGGCCTAGAATTAGCCTCTAATACAAGGCAGTTTTCTTCGAAATCCACAAATGACCGGAGTAAACTGTAGTATCATGCGCTAGTTTTAGCTCACATTTGGCGATACACGTTGTGTTTTTCCTGGCGCTCGTTTCGCAACCACAGAAGCCACCTGAGTGACTGGTATATCATCATATCACCGAATCCTCTCATTTAGCGCGTCACGAGGCAACTGCAGATAAACGTTATCGTTACGACGACAAACCAGTGAAGCAAGCGTCTAAAGCCAAAGGCATTTGGAGACCACAGAAAAGGTTTTTTATCATTGATCACCATGGTTTTTGTTTTTGTGGGTGAAATGAATGAGACGGATGGAACATTTTTGTGGATGTTTCTCAGTAATTAGAGCAGAAGGCAGCTTCCAGAAACAAAGTCGATTATGGCTGGCTATTTTTCATGGGAACCAAGTATCCTACCTTACCCGAAAGTCGTCTGCAGCACTATACCAGCAGTCGTGTACAGCTGACGTCATTGGAATGTGGATTTACGATTTTCATTGTAGTCCAATAGAGAGGCCTGATTTTTGTAATCTTGCGATGTTGCAGGAAATGACGCCTGCCCAAAGAGGCATCAAAGAATATCTGAAGACACTGTTACGCAATTTTTAAACAGCCTTGCCACTTGTTCAATGCTGCATGTGTCTCCGGACGGCGGCAGTGTGTAGAATGCTAAAGCATGACGGCTGTATGGTATCTGTGCCAAATCGGACCGCCATGTTGAAAATCTTCAGGGTTACATTGGGGCTCACTTGGTCTGCGGCTCCGCTGTTAACTGAAGTGAGTGTTGTTGTTGGGCTGTTTTCGGTGGTTACATTAGCGTTGCGGAATTCAAAGTTCCAAACAACCATATCCCGCAATTGTATTTGATATGCTTTCATCGAATGCACATGACTGCGAATAATGCATGGATCATGTGGAATTTCATGTGGATCTTCATGATCATGTGGATCTTTGCAGGTGAACACCAACGGAATGGTGTCGTTCTTGACGGAGCTTCCGAACTTCTACAACGTGCCATTTCCTCTGGACTACCCTTTGATCGCGCCGCTGTACTCCGATGTGGACATCACCGGCGCTGGGAACGTGTTCTACAGGTATGCGGAAGGCTGTGTGTGTTCCTGCGTATCACCTGCCATCACCTGACGTGAAATGACATGCCACCGGACGTGAAATGACATGTCATCTGACATGAAATGACGTGCCACCTGACGTGAAATGACATGTCACCTGACGTGCAATGGCATGCCACCTGACGTGCAATGGCATGCCACCTGACGTGTAAGGGCATGCCACTGGGCATGACATGACATGTCACCTGACGTGTAATGGCATGTCAGCTGATGTGTAATGGCGTGCCACCTGACGTGTAATGGCATGTCACCCGACGCGAAATGACATGCCACTGGACGTGAAATGACATGTCACCTGACGTGTAGTGGCATGTCACCTGACGTGTAATGGCATGCCACCTGACGTGAAATGGCATGCCACCTGATTTACAATGCTCGCGTGTATATGCTGATCAGCGTACATCCAGCAGTCCCCAATGAGGTTAAAGTGGGATAACTTATCAGCAGGGTGGGTCTTCAAAAAAAAGACAGACTAAGCTGTTGAATATGTGCGGTGATGTGCCAGAACAAATGAGTTCCGATAATGATATGCCACGCCATAGGATGCAAATGGCAATGCCTCATGTGTTCTTGCGTTGAGCAACAGCCCGGCATGCATGATGTTGCTTTGTGCGATAAAATGGCACAAAACAGTGTCAAGGTTAAAACTTGCTCCACCACAAGCATACAAAATAAGCAAAGCTTGGCCGTTTTCAGGATGAATTACGGTGTGAAACTTGTGAACTTGTGACTTGTGAAAAAACTCTTTGTTTTTAACCCAGCGTCTATTTTCTAACGACATTATTTTCCCAATTGGTTTGCGGCTAGAAATAATTTCCAGAGACATAAAACATGCAAGTGACGATATATATTTTGATATCATTGCGATTTGCTGGTGCTAAGCAAGATTATGCCTGCATAGGCTCTATCCATGCCAGATCTCTTCCTACCAAAACTTATCTATTTTTAAAAAAATCTTCTGTGACATGTCCGATGCAAATGCGACAAAATAAACTGATATATCCCTGCCATACTCCTGTTGATAGGCATGCAGTGCATACAGAGCATGCAAACCTAAACTTGGCCCCCGATGAACGACTCTTGGGTGAAATTATCATGTCTTGGGTTAAATTATCGCCCGTCTTGCTCCACACGGCACCGATGTAAACAATGGCAGCAAAGTCAGTATTTAACGGTCTGGGTCGGTCCAGGCGGCTGAATGCCAGGCCTGGTATGCTCCTAAAATTTGAGTGGACTTAAGACATGGACTGCAGCGGAATGTCTATGAAGGGTTTTATACCATGAACTCATTTTCAGTTGTAAACATATGGCTTAAAGGGAGTGTTCCACGTTTGTATGGGGTTTTGAACTGAAATAGCCATGCTGAAGACCTTTTGATGCAGCTCACGGCCAAGCCTTTGACCCAAGACCCAAAGCCCCTGGTGGCTGAGCTTAAAGGCCGCAAAGATGTAGGAGAGTGATTTGGAAGTGTATTTGAATGCCACCTTCGCACTCATGACGTCATAATGACGCTATTCAAATTGTACGATGTAATAAGCCACACGGAGATTAAAGACAATAAAAATAATGAACGAATCATTCATATCTGGCATTCGTGAGTATGATTTCTAGACATAACGGCCGTCTATTGGCTCTCAACGAATGTTATGCAAAGGTGCGATGACGTAATCAAATGATGACGCATCGAGGAGCATATTTGCTAAACAGAGCAACTGTGTTATCTATAGCAAGTTTTTTCTGATAAAAAGTATGAAAATAGTTGTGAGCTTGTTTCATCATACCTGATGCGTGCTTTAATATCTCCACATGTGAAGCCCTCCCTTGTCAACAATGATTGCATGAAACGAGATTGCATGAAAGGTTTAGTGTTGCAGTCGAAGAGCATGGACACATTTAGAACTTTTCAGCGCACATCACCCATCGTAAAAACCGCTATTGTCAACTTTACTGGAAATAGTCCGTGATTTCGAAAACATGTCAAATATCGAAGTCGCTCAGTCCCTAGTAGACATCATAATCCACGTTGATAAAAATCAGGTTTGAAATTCTGACAACCCAGCCTACCCCAATTGCTCCTATGGGTTTATGTGGCGTAATCGGCGGTCCGTGGGATCCTGGGACCGCAGTTGCAATCTCGCACGTTGCATGTTTGCCTCATAGTCTTGGCTAGAGTCATTGCGACATCGGGAGATCATGAAATGATCACTCAGCTGAGACCAAAGCATCCACACGAGTTCATGCGTCGTTCGACAGCTGTTTCGAAGGGTTAATCTTTGAATCTACGCTGCACGCAAAAATTCGCAGAACAAATGTGAAAAGTTTTACTTGTGTTGTGTTCAGCGCGTTTCCTTCATGTTTGAAGCTAATGAGCATTGTGTTTACGGACTGGTTTGAGATGGGGGCAGGCTAAACCTGTTTGCTGTCACCATCTGTTCCATAGCATATCCAGGCCCAACTTATCATCTTTACAGTCCGCGAGCATAAAATTAACTTCACATTCCGCTGGCAAATCAGTAGAATTTGATACTAAGACCAATTTTCACTTCGGAAACTGAGTTCAACAATCTCCCACAGTTCAGCGAGACCCCCTGCCATGACATCTTTAGAACACTCTTCAGAATACGATCACGCGTTCTTCTCGCAAGGAGTTCAAGATAACGTGATCCACTACCCTTCAACCAGTCTAGCCTAGCCCCATGGTGATGCTGGGAAGGAACTGACGTTGGAAACGGGTCTGGTCCCACGTTTTTAGGCGCATTCACATATCTGCGCCCCCGCTGGTGCCATGGATTCCCACGGATCCACGATTTGCCGAAGTGGTCGGTGTCCCTCAGTCTCTCATGGCACGCCTGTCGTTCTTTGTTCTCTTGTGACGCACGCGACCAAGCGGTCACGTGCTCAGAAACAGTTGGCGGTGACTGGATAGGTGTTCGGATTACATGTTTCATATACCCAAGGCTGTTTGTGAGTAGTAGCACACCAATAGTTCATCACGCCTGTTCAACAAACATTTCTTCCGTCATAACACACGCTATAAGCAAAATCCTCCGCATTCGGCGAGATCAAGAGCAAAATGCGTTTTTAACAAGGACGCTGGCATTGACATTGACACTGTGTTTGGCACGCTGGCATTGGCACTAAATCAAAGGTGTATGGTTTCACAAAATGATTTGGGTAGCTGAACAGTAAAAAAATGGCCCAACCTGCCCCAAAATATGCTAACAAGTAGGTTTCTCTCCATACTTGGCCCATTTCCTTCCCAAGGTTGGAGGTTAACTGAAGCCTAAGTTGTGGGGGGGGGGGGGGGCTACATCTCCTTTCCTACTGAATACGAAACTAAACCCCCGCACTCAATGGCACTAGTTCGAGCTGCCGGTGCCGTAGTGCTGCGACCGTGACCTCCCCACCCGACACCATGGAGCGAGGTTTGGAGGATGACGCCCGCGGACAGCACGCGACAGCACATCCGCAGCGAGCGCCGCAGTCGTGCAGACGCCGGGGGGCAGCGGCCACAGTACGGCTGCCGGTGACGGAACTGTTTATGCTGGGCCCGATCTGGTTCCCACCGGGCGGTGCGGGTGTCGAGTGAGATGAGCATTCCACTCAACCGACGCTACGGATGTATACGAATGCCGCTGGGGTAGACCTGGGACCGTGGCCCTGTTGGACTTGCCACAGCACGAGGCGCCTCGCTATTGTAAGCAGACGATTGGGGGTCGCAAGGCAATCTGCCTCCAGCAGGAACAGCGGGTAACTCGCAGACGACGCGGTAGAAACGCGTTTGAAACGCGTCCCACGTGTTTTGATTACTTTTCCGGGCCGCAATCCGAGTGTTTTGCAAAGGTGGCGATGACTCAGAATGCGAAAAGAGCGACTCGTTGGCATCACGGTTTAACCAGTAGTTTTTAGCTTTAGAAAGGTAAATAAGAACATACACAGGTTTTTAGCGCACCGTTGAAGCATTCGGTCGGAAATATCCCGCTGGTGCATAAAAACTTTAGGCAATGGATGAATAGAACCAAAGAGTGCAAGCATTTCCAAATTCATGCAGCACTACCGCTGTATGATTTCCAAATGATGTAAGGTATAGCTTCACGGCGTGTAACGAATTCAGGTTAAGGTCACTGGCTATTCCAATATTCAGGTTCAGGTCGCTAGCTATTCCAATATTCAGGTTGAAGTCACTGGCTATTCCAATATTCAGGTTAAGGTCACTGGCTATTCCAATTCTGATCATGGTTTTGTGCTCGGCATTATTTCCGGGCGGAATCCGGAACGGCAGTTTCCTGTCATGCAGCATAATTACGTGATAGTGATCACCCATGAGGTAAACTGGCCAGACATCTCCAGCAGCCCTATGCACTTGAGCTTTTCGTATTACAGTATGCTATGACATACGGCACGAGTGTAGCATGTCAGATACTTGTGCCACACATTGTCACGAAACGGGCACCCAGGGATGAAATTGTCCAGATACTTAGAGGGTATCTAGAGGATGTCCAGATCTCCTCCCCCCCCCCCCAACACTCGCTATTATAAGCGTTGTGTAGAAACATTCGGTAGCAAAGCTTGAGTGTCCCTTGCCATTCGCCATTCAATCTCTCGAGTAAGTTCGTTGTGGTCACATCCCCATATTGTTTCCGGATGCATGCATCTCACCATGTTCATTTTGTTGTGGCATGCGGTGGTCATCCACAACGTAACAATGATTATATTCATGAAAATGGCACTTTTGTTCTCGAATTATCGTAGCGGTCTGTTGTATCCTGGCATTTTTACTTCACAGCTTGCAACACAACTACAGTAGTATCTACTTTCATCTGCACCGCATCCAACTTGTGCCTCTTTTCCCACGAAACAATGTTTAGCTAATGGTAGAAGTGGCCAAGAGCTGTAGGGTTAGAAGCTTCAGCGCTCAAGCGGGGGCCTGGGATTCATCCCGGCCTCTGAGGCCTCTGCAATCG